TCTCGCTCCCGTGCGTTACGACAGGCACCACTCCGCTGGAGCGGCGAAAAAAATTGTCGACTCGGATGATATTTGTATCCCCTCCACTCCGCGAGCGTCGCGTCCGCGAGTCGAGCCAGTGCACCGCGATCCCGGCGTGCCGCGGCGTGCCGCCTTGCCGCACTCCGCGGCCACGCGCCGAAACTATTTTTACATTTCCCCGAAAGAAAGGGGAGATTATGTTGCATGCCTTTCGAGGCCGTAAAGTGGAGACAGAAGGGTGACAGTGTAGCTGCGGGCTGATTCCGAGCGGTGTCGCTGTCTCTCTCGCACGCACTGCGCCTTGCGCGTGAGAGTGACGGAGAAGGAGCACTGCTCGGTGGCAGTCTGCCGGTCAGCGTCTCGGCGGGCCTTGGAGGGCCTTGGAGGGCTGGGGCTCGAGGGGGCGGCGGGGACGGCAAGAGGATGAGGCACTCGGGGCCGTCGACGGGGAGCCTCTCGACGCGCTGCAGTGCTGCAGCCTTCAGCAGACTGATTCGGAGAGTCGTTTTCGCCGCTCCGTCTCTCTCGCACTTATACGGAACGCCCCCTGAGTGCAAGAGAGAGACAGAGCGACGAAGATGACTCACGGAATCAGGCTGCAGCTTCAGGGGGCGCCCTCGGTGCCTGTCTGCGCCGGCCGGCAGGACGAGAACACCGCCAAGTCTTTCCCAAGCTTCCGCCGCCACGCTGATGGTGGACTCGACCACCAAGATGTCTTAAACCACCTTCTGCTCTGCTGCTGGCACGCGTGATAGCCTCTCGTGGTTGATCCAAGCCGGAAAATCGTACTTCCTCGACTGGGCAGTATTCTGAGAGGCCTTTTCCCGCCTTGGTTTAGGAGCAGTGTTACCGCAAAGTTGGTGGAAACACCGATAAATGCGTCGGCGGCCGCAAGACGCGTTGCGTCGCGGTGCGTCGCGGTGCCGGGCCGCGGCGACGCTTTTAGCCCCCTTCTCTCTCCTGGTGACCTACACTTTGGTCATAACAACAAAAATCCCCGCTGCCGTGCCGCCGCGCCGCCGCCGTGCCGGGGGGAGCGTGGCACGGCACGGCGCGGCACGGCGCGGTGTAATCTTACAGTGGAAAAGCACAAGGGCCGAGGGCGGAGGGGTTCAGCGGCCGCGCGGCGCAGGGCAGCGAAGGGCCCGACGGGACCCGCGGGTGTCGGATTCAACACATCATTTGCAGCCCTTTACTCAAGCGCTGTTGTTGGCCGGTCCGCCAAAGGGTGGCATGGCGTCCTCCCAAAAACCGCGGGGTGCTCCAACTGACTGCATTGAAAGCCGGTTCCACAACAGTGTGCCAGCAGTCTCGGCCGATTGTTGGGGGTTGTTGGGGGTTCGCAGTTCGCATGCGGCTTAGAGTGCTTCAAAGCGACGGGGCGACGGGCTGGAGGAAGCTCTTTTCAACCGCGCCTCGCCGTGCCGTGCCGTGCCGTGCCGTGCCGTTGCCGCCCCAAGGCAGCTGGTGGTGTTAGCGTTGAGAGGTGTCGAAGGACGGCGGGGGCGTTTGGCGGGAAGGCGGCGTGGCAGCGCGGCGGCGTGGCGGCCAGACGGGTGGCGCTTGTCTGGGGCTCGCGCGCCCGCGCCGGGCCCTGGGGCGCTGGGGCGTCGGGGCGCTGGGGCGTCGGGGGCCGCGAGAAGATGGCCGAGTCCAGAAAAAGAGCAACACGCCATGCCGCGGGCGGTTGGTCGTTGCCGCTTCGCTTGCCGCCCAGGTGTCGCGTCCTTCCGCCATTCGGGGAGCGGAGCGGCGGGGGCGGCCCCGGGGGGTGGCGGCCTGGGGGTGGCGGGGGCGGCGGGGGTGGCCGCGGCGCAGTGAACAGACTCAACATTGCCGGCTATTCTCAGACATGATAAACAAGGGGAAAGGCGTGGAGGTGGGGCGCGAGGGGCGCGCCAGGTTGGCTTTTGGCTTTCTGGAGGAGGAAGCACCGCCACGCCGCCGCGCCGCCACGCCGCCAAGCGGGCATAAGTCATCGCATGTATACTCCGAGCATGACGTTTCCAGGCAGGAACACATACACACACACACGCACACATGCACACACACACACACACACACATACACATACACTCTCTCTCTCTCTCTCACACACACACACACACACACACCTACACACACACACACGCCAGCCCCGTGGCGTCCGTCGCGGTGGACTGCACGCAAGAGCGGGACTCATTATTTGCAGACGGCAAGGCCGACACGCCGGCACCACCGGGGCGGGCACCACCACGGCGGGCACCACGACGGCGGGCAACACCTGGCCGCACGCCGTCACGACGCCTCGTGCCAATACGCTCATCGAATTGAGGCGCTATGTCGGCCGCGCCGCAGGTGTGTGGTGCGAGTGGTGCGCACGCGGCACGCCGACGGCACGCCGACGGCACGCGTACGTGGGCCTGTGTGAGTGAGGGCGCGGTGACAGTAATTAACAGATTGCCGGGGGCTGTAGAGGCACCCCACCGCCTACCGCGCCCACGCACTGCAAGGACTGCGAGCGGTTCCGCGCATCGCTGTCGCCGTTCTGTCTCTCTTTCTCGCTCTCACTAGCGTCGTGGCCAGAGCGACCTGACGCCGTGCGGAGGGCCTCCTTGAAGGGCCGGATGGATTCGCAAAAGCGACGGGGCAACGCGGGCAGCGTGTCCCTTTTCCACTAAAGGGGCTTCGCGTGCAGGCGCGAGGGAGACAGGGCGAAATGAGTGTGCGGCCGGTGCGCGCGGCGCAGTCCGCAGCCGCAGCTCGGCGGTGCGGTCCGCACGCACTGTGCGTTGCGTTCGCCGTGCGTCCGCCGCGCCGCCTCTCATCTATGGGGTGCTTAGGTTTAAAATTAGAAGGCGCTGAGAGCGGCGAAGCGGCGAAGCCATGGCGAAGCGGCGCGCACCGCCACCGCGGCCGCCAGCCCGGTGCAGCAGCACGGCAGCACGGCGGCGCACTCCTAGCGACTGCAGCGCGGTTTGCACGCCCAAGGAGATGGGGCGACGACGGGGAAGGCAACAAGGAGGGGAAGGACGGAGAAGGCAATAACGGGAGGGCGGTGACGGGGGCGGCGATGGGGGCAGTGATGGGGGCGGCGACCGGGAAGGCGACGGGGAAGGCGACGGCGCCGATGCGGTGTCGGTGTCCGAAGCAACATCTCGACGACTCCCCCCGACCGGCCGACCGAGTAAACAGCGGCTCGAGCCTCTGAGAGCGGCGGCCGCGCCGAAGAGCATTCTCCAATCATTTTCTACGCCGAGGATGAAATATCCGTCCAGTTTCGAAAATGGCCGCCGCCCGCGCCACGTGTGTGAGTGTGTGCACTTGCAGGTCGCTGATCCGCGCGCCATTGCCGAGCGAGCAGAATCAGGCGGTACAGTCACGCAAAGCGCGCAAAGCACCGCGCCGCGCGGCGCCGCGTCCACGCGTGCCTGCCGCCCCCAACAAAGGCTTACAGTGCAGCGGCTAGGATTCGCAGCTCGGCGCGCAAACTAAACTGGACCGGTGAATCAGCCAATCGCCGGGGTGGATACTACGTGGATACTATGTACTCCTCCCTGGGTCTTTTTTCGTACAACCCATCGCCAGGGGATTACGTTAAACGTTATTTTCGGACACCTAGTTTACAAAGGAGATGATGCTCACCGGGCTAAAGATAGGACGCCCGGTGCTTTTAAAACTGTTTGCATTTCGGTCGATCGCTAAATTTGGCGGCTTTTATTGTGTGCTCCTGACGGCCCGCCGGTGTTCCTGTACGCTTACATCATTGTTGCCTCGGTCTTGCTCTCTTAGTCACAGGGGAAAAAATGAGCTGAGAGCAAACGATCTACATAAAAAAGAAAACTTTCAAAATTCTAAAAACAGCAACGATTTTTTGCATAAATTGTTTGAAAATGATCGCGGCTTTGCTTGATAAGTTTGGGCGGACAGTGGGGACTTGTTGCTGTGTAGATGAACACCGCTCGCTCGCTCGCCGCTCCCCGCATTAATTAATATTGATCAGGGGCTGCGTGCGAGTGGCGGGCGGTCCACACGCACACTCGCGCACACACTCTCTCTCTCTCTCTCTCTCTCTCTCTCTCTCTCTCTCTCTCTCTCTCTCTCTCTCTCTCTCTCTCTCACACACACACACACACACACACACACACACGAGCGGTCGTGCCTCGCACGCAACCCTGCTGGGTGTCCGATGACCGTTGCAACTCAATGAAGGTCCTTTCGTCATTGCGACTAAAGGGATCGATTCAGGTGCGAGATATCGAAAGACATCGACGGCGTCGTTCGGTCGACCAAGGCGCCGCGGGAGCTCTCGAAACGGGGCAGTGCCAGCGGGACAGATCGTTCAGGCTTATACACCATCGAAGCATTCTGAGAACGTTGTTCCCTTTTTTTGCGAGTGTGGGCTGCTGAATTGGAGCGCTACTTCTGATGCAGAGAATCGCACAGGGACCACTCGTGACGTAACGCAGAAGGGGTGGCGCGGGGTGGGGGGTGGGCGGGGCGGGGCGGGCAGACTTTTTATTGGCCGTTAAGAAGGGGGATGTGACAGGGGTGAACGGCCCGCTAAGGCCCAAGCAACGCCAAGCGCACACACAGACACACCCGCACAGCCGCACACACACACACACAGCCCGACGCCAAACTAAGGAGACACTGGGTGGGGACGAGGGGGGGGGGCGAATGTCGGAGAGGAGGAGCTGGTCTGGTGGAGCCCAGCCAAAACTCGGAGCTTTTGCCTTTCCTCGAGATGAACGCGATGAGACACAGCGGGATCATAACACAATGTAGCAAGTAGTGGCGCTGGCAGAGCGGAGTCGGAGCGACGACACGGCACCGCTCCCAGCCGATGAGTGACACGTTGTCAGTTCGATTATGGACTGCTCTACATTTTTGGGTTTGATTACGATTGTGGATTTCGACCTCTGGAACGATCTACTCCACATGTTACTTAGGTTGTGCCATCGATCCCAAGCACCTTGGCTGCCTCGGCCTGTACTCACCACAGTTCTTGCAGAGCACCGTGCGGATGGCGTGCACCGTGGCCCTGCTGCGCGGCAGCGGCGTGCCCCGCACTGTAAAGTTGTGCGGGCCGACGCGGTCCACGAACACGACGAACTTGCCGCCAGGCTTGATGCTGGCGCGGACGGGGGCGGGGGCCGCGGGGGCGGCGGGGGCCGCCAGGCGCGTCAAGTCCTCGCACTGCGCCACATGCCTCGCCGCGGCGCGGGGCCTCTCCGGGCGCGCGGGGGCCGCGGGGGCGGGGGGCGGCTCCACGAACTGCAGCCGCACTTGGGACCGCATTCGAAGGGGCGGCGCGGCCACCGCCCCCACCGCCCCCCGCGGGGCGTCCTTGTAGACGTGCTGCACCACGAACGTGACGAAGTACGCGCCCCCGGGGCCGGGCGGCGACCGCGACCGCGCCTTGCCCTCGAACACCGTGGTGGCGGCGTACGTCCGCAGGCCCGCGTCTTCACTCGCACACCACGCGCCGCCCCGCCACCGCCACCGCCCCCGCCCCGCCGCCCCGCGGGCACGCGGCCTGCCGCCAGTGCCGCCGCCCCCGGTCAGTGAGCCCTGCGAAAAGCCCTTCGGGGGGACCGCGGCGGACGCGGCGGCGGCGGGGGCGGGTGGCGGTGGCCGGGGCCTTGCTCTGTCCACTGGGGGCCCGGGCCTCTTCTGCTGGCCGCGGGAGACCGGGGGTGCCACGACGGCGGTCTGCGCCGGGCTGTCGTAAGTCCAAGGGAACCGCCGTGGGGAGGTGGTGTCGGCCGGCGAGGACGGCGACGGTGGCCGCGGAGGCAGCGCGGCGGCCAGGACGAGCTGCGTCCACCAGCCGCCCAGCAGGGCAACGTACAGCAGCGCCAGCAACCCGGTTCGCAGCCTGGCCGCGCCGCGCCACGCCCTCCGGGGCCTTCTCTGGGTGTCGCGCAGGACGTCCTGCAGGGTGTCCTCGGCGTCGGGCGCAGGGCGGGCGCAGCTGCAGGCGCAAAGGGCGTGCGGAGCGGGCACTCGGCACTCGTCCACGAGGTCCGCGTTCGGTCCATGAGGGTGCTCGCGGCTGCCTCTTTGCTTCATATCCTTCGCGGCCTCGACGGCGGCCTCGGCGGCGGCGCTGGCGTCCCCTGGCCAGACGGTGAGGGTGCCCTTGGTGTCCTCCAGGGCGTTGTGGCCGCTACTCCGCGACTCTCACCCCTGGGGCACGGCTTACACCGGCACGGGCCGAGGGTCCAGCCCGGACGCTACACTCTGGCAGGAACAGGTGGCGGTGCCGGAGGTTCCAGTCCAGGGTCGTGGTCGAGGCCGTCGGGGCGGGGGAGGCGGGGACGGGGGCCTTCGACTCGCTGCTGCTCGCACTGCTGCTGGACGGCGAGGGAGGGGAAGACATGGCCGCGGCCAGCACGGGGACCACCACGGCGACGACGGCGTTGCAGGGCTGGGGGCCGTGCGGGCTAGGCGCGCGCCATGTCAACAAGCACTCGATGACCCGGCACAGCGCACAGCGCGCAGCACGCGTGGACCGGCGTGCGCTCCGGTGGCTCGCGGGGCGCGCTCGGCGGCGCTTCGGTGGCGCTTCGCTTCGGCGGCGCTTCGCTTCGGCGGCGCGGCACTGCTCGGGGCTCGCGCGGCGCTTGGCGTGGCGCTCGGCGTCGCGTGGCTCGGGTCGGCGTGGCGGTCTGGCGCGTCTGGCGTGCGTCTCAGGACTGCTGGGCCGGGTTGGGCTGGGGCCGCGCCGGCGTGCGCGCCGAGGCGGGGCCTGGCGGGGCGGGGCTGGCTGGGGCGGCCGGCGGCCGGGGCTGGGAGGGGCGGGGTGGGGTGGGGCGCGGGGGCACACTCACGGACGAGCTCTGTTCGCAGACTAACAGGGCAGGCATAGCGTAGCGAGCGTAGCGCGTCTGGCTGGCCAGGGCCCCCGCGGCCCCCGCGGCCCCCGCCGGCTACTCCCTCCTCCACACCGGTCCCTCTCGCTCGCTCTCGTACTCGCCGGGCCACTGCATGTACTGCATGGAGCAGGGCGCTGCTTGTTTCAGCGCTCCGAGGACTGCCGCAGTGGGGGTGGCATCAAAGTCGAACACCCCGCGCCCCGCGCCGAGAACCTTCTCACAGTGAAGGGGAGAGGGACCGCACCCCGCCGTCGGCGCCGTCCAATCGGCAGAGGATCATTCCATGTCCATGTTACCGTTCCCCGCACTTGGCTAGGCCCACTAGGCCATGCAGGTTGGACAAGCTAGACCGGCCTCGGCAATCGTGCTGCCGAGTGGCGGCGTCGTCCTCCCTTCTGGCGACGGCCGCGTCTGCGAACTCTCTTTTTGCGCTGCCGGCCTCCTGCGTGCCCCTCGGCCAGCACGGCCAGCACGGCCAGCACGGCCAGCACGGGGCTCGGGCCGCTGTTTGTTTACCGAAGTGCTTCTAGGGGGCGTTAGTGCCCCGGGCGATCGCCTTCTCTCGCCGCTCCAGCCCCGCGGCGAGCCCCGCGGCCGCCCCGCCGAGTGGCGGCAGTGTGATGCAGATAAATCCGTCCCCAAAGGTGTCCGACCGCGCAGCGCCGCGCCACGCCGAGCACCGCGACGAACGGCGAGACTTGATAAGGCGTCAGGTGCGGGCGGGGCCGGGCCGGGCCGGGCTAGGCCGGGACGACCTTGGCCTTAAAGGCGAAGCTCATCTGTTGATGCGCGACGAGGCGCCAGGCGTTGCTGCGCGTTGCTGCCCGCCTGTGATGTTTCGAGGTTTCCCTTCGGCGAAATTCACCTGTTCGGCGGAGCAGTGCGGGGCTGCTGCCACGGCGCCGATCCCGGGAAATCCCCGCGGCGCGCGCTGCTTGTCGAGGCGATGAAGCGCAGAGCCGAGGCCGCGTTTGCTCGTTCAAAACGTGGAACCGGCTGTCCAGGCCAAGCAAGTCCAGTCCACGAGGTGGCGGCGTTTGGCGGGGTTCGTGCCACGCCGGCGCTGAGGTCGCTGAGCTGTAGGGGGTGATCCCCGGCGTCGGCTCGGGCCGCGACATATATTACAATGCTTTATAAACGTCTCACTTTTGAATCACGTCCAAAGCGCTCCAAGTCAAACTTTGGCCCCGGCCCAAAGCACACCGAGTCAGTCACGTGACCCGCGCGGCTGATGAGAAAGCGATACAGCCTCGGATACGGCGGCTTCGACGACCACGAGCTGCTTGTTGCTGGTGCGTAAAATTTGACGCAAATTGTTTGGGATCTGGTCGAGCAGGTGACCATCAGCTTGCGGTTCTCAGTCTGCCTCGGAATCGCTCTGAGTTTTCGTTTCGTGCGGGAAAAAGTGTAACGCGTCCGCGCGGAAGGTTCGTCGCTCCTGTCTGAGACACTTTCTCACACACTCGCGCGGCCTGGCGGGGCGGGGCGGGGCGGGGCGGCCCCGCGTGGGAGGACGGCGGGACGGAGTCGACGAGGCAACTGCACGGCCGCCTGATGATCAAAAAACCAGCTGATCCAAAATAAATGACCCCCTTCCCCCTCCCTTGCGTGATGCCGCGTTGACTGATGTCCACCCCCACCCGGCCCCCACCCCCACCCCGTGCCGCCGCCGCGCCGCGCGCCCCACTGCTGCCAACACAACATGCAGGCGTCGAACAGTCATGCTCCCCAAACAGCGGCGTGTAGCGCCCGGCCAATCACAGACACGCGTTGTTGAGTCATTCGACTTTGAGCGGGTAAGTAAGCGCAGGCTGCACCGCGGCAGGTACGCCCACGACCGGCTCCACGCCACCACACCGCAAGACCGCGAGAATGCAAATATTTTGGACCAGCATACCGAGGCGGTTGCTCTCCTGCTTTCGGACGGGCCAATTTTTTCCTCGAAGGAAAGTCACGGGTCGAGTTTGCGGCATGACGGGGCGAACGGCGCGCGGCTCGCCGATCGGGCCGCCGAGTCCGTGAACGGGCCGAAACGGGCCGGTGGGATGCCGGGCAGCGGTTCAAAATCTCCAAAACGCACCCCACTAGGCGGCGGACTATCCGTTCCAACACGATCGAACGCGTTCGTTCGAAATAAGCAATCCCATGAGAGCAAAGTAGCCATAATCAAGTCGTAATGACGTCAACCGAAGTCAGTTTTAACGTCGCACTGAATGAAAGTTCGACTCAAATCGTTCATTTTGAGGTCGTTTTGACGTCAGCTTGACGGCGCGATCGGCGAGAGTCGTTCGTCTCCGCGCGGTCCCGAGTGCGTCAGACTCGGGGGCGCCTGAGTCGAAGTCCGCCATGTGACCATAGCAGACGGAGTTCGACCTGCCAATTCCCGCCTGGCGTCGCGCCTCGCGTCTGTTCCGCCCCAGTTCCCATCCCCCTCCCCCTCCCCTCCCCTCCCCCCTCCCCCTGCCCCTCCGGCCCCGCCCTTCCGCAGCGAGGCTCGCGAGGGCAGTGACTGCTCCGTTCGCCTCATTCAGACCGAACGGCCGAACGGCCAAACGCACCCACCTACCTCACAACCTCACATTCAGGGACCTACACCGAAAGTAAGGGAAAACAACAAGCAAACATGAATATATTCTTGTTGTTTTTCTATAATGAACCAAGACCTGTAAATTTACGAGATGTAGGAAAGTATGTGACGAACGCTTCACACCAGTCGCAGTCACATTGGATGTTTTTCAGGTTGCGGGGACCCTGCTCGCCTGCCCACTCGGCGCCACGGCCGCCACGGAGACGGTGGTCTTCTGCTTGTGCAGGAGCGCGCGGAGGGCCGGGCCGCGGCGCCCTGCGCAACCCGCGTGCAGATTCATCTTCCTTCAATTATTTACTTTGCCCCCATTTGTCTGTTGGCGTGGCGGGCGATAGTTTGGCAGTGCAGGGCGTGGCGGGGCGCCAAGGGGCGGCGGGGGCGGGGCGGCCGGGGGCGCTGGGGGCCGAGGGCCGCTAAGGACGCGGCCGGACACGCTTTCGCAAAATCAGTGTCGCGACGGACGGGATGGGGCGGAGCTGGGCGGGGTCGGCACGCCTCGGGAACACACCGTATCGCTTTTATTGACACGGTTTACAAGCCTCGCCATCCAGAATCGGAAACAAAAGACGGACGAAAATAGGTTGTTGCGCCTGACGGCCTGGCCGTTTCGGCGGGTCGTTTCCGCGCGACTGTCGACGCGGTGTGCCGATGACGTCCTCGCCTTGGGATTGACAGGACTTGCCTCGCGGATGCGGTAATGCTGTAATACGTCCCATCGTCCGAGATTGACGAAAGCGCGACAAAGAATAATCGTCTCCCTCTCTGTCCCGCTCTTCCTTCGTAAACCCTTCAGGGCAGCACGCTGTAAGCCCCGCTGTAAGCCCCGCGCGTAAAAAAAAGGGTGGCGCGGGGACTTTTTCATCAAAACGCGCCAAATCTCTCGGAACGAATGGCCGCCGACACCAGCGCGGCTCCACAAAGGGGGAGGGGGAGGGGGAGGGGGAGTGAGGGCAGTGAGGGCGTCGCGGCGGTCCTCTCCGCAACACGATCTCTGACAGGCTCTTTTATTTTTTCCACGAAAAAAAATCCCCCTGTCTGTGTCCCAACGGCCCAGCGGCCCACCGCCTCACAGTAACTGGCTCAAAGCTTTCACCGGCCGTCATCGCGGCATCGCGGCGGCGCTAAGCAGCTCATCCAGTCACGTCCATTCCGCGCCGCGACGCGCCGCGACGCCGCGGAGAAGAGCAAGAAGGAGTACGACGTGTGTGAGTTCGAGCGCGTGCGTGTGCGAGTGTGACGGAAAAAACAACAATCTTGTTTATGCGTGTTGAGGGGCATATAATACGTGCGGATGGAGGGGGCGTAGCGCCACGGTGGACGCCGTGCCACGGCCGTGGAGGGGGTGGGGGCAAGGTGGGGGTGAGGGGCTCGAAGGGTCGCGTCGCAACGTGTCCCGCGTCTCCGTCGGCCCTTCATCTATTTTTACCGCCATTTCAATCGCAGAGCGCGAAGAGAGGCGGATCGACCGCGCCGCGGCGGCGCGGTGCTGCGCCTCTCGGATCATAGCCCGCCACCTGGACCCCGCGCCGCCCCCGCGCCGCCCCCCGCCGACTTGTTGTCGTCGGCCCCCCGCCCCCGCCCCCGCCGCGGCGCCGGGTGCACGGCGT